GTAATATACTTTTTCTTTGAGTATCTTTATCAGAAGATGACATTACGTTAACAATTTTACAACAAAATCAAATCAAATCAAATGATCTAATCATGTATTAATTTAGTTTAGTACATATTGTTCACGTGTTCAAAATATGACACGAATAGTTTTTATTTTCAGAATGTTATTAATGTTTGAAATGCATGAAAAATTTTCCAAAAAGTTTTGTTACACCCTGTAAATATCAATTTCAACATTAATGTTATTCTTATTATGCTGTAAATTATTATATTAATAAATTCTAATCAAATAGACACTACCCCATTTTCACCATACCAGTGTTCAAGTATAATTATCCCAGGTCCGGTCCTAAATTGGTTGTTAGATTGAGTACAGTACATTTTGTGCAGTGAGTCATTTTTAACCATTTTTGGTAATGATAATTGTACTTACATTCCTTTTTTGGGGTTGGGTGTGTGAGGCCTATAATTGTACTTATTATTATTGTATTCAACCTAAGCATATTGTACTTACTGTACTCAATCTAATTCTACTGCATGAAGTGTACTGTACTCGACCTGTATATACCTGTCCTAAATTCCCTGGTTGATAAATATGATCTGTGAATTAAAAACAATGTCAAACATAATTTGCAACACCCAGAAGATATTGAAAGTTCTAACACCTCTAAAAAATTTAAAACGGACTATCCTTTTTTGAATTCATACATCTATCATAATGAAATCAATCAAACCTTTCGAATGCTCCAAGTCATGATGTTGGTAATGTCAGCAATACAACAATTTCGCCAATGATAGGTGGTTTAGAAGATTGGATGCTGTGAGCATTGATGGGTTGCAAAAACTTAACAATATTGTAAAAGAAAATTTGCTTTGTCAAATTTTCTGAAAGTTGATGCTTGCGTAATGTGATGATTACACAAACTCATTGCAACCTATAAAAATATACTATTGGGGATCAAACAAAACCAGCGCATATGTATTCATATTTTCAATTAATTAAGTTGTCAAATCTTACATGATAGGGTTGTCAATGTTTTAAACGTGAAAATGGTACATTTCCACAAAACAATGGAAATTTTACTTGACGTAGACCATTACAAAATTTAATATTATGCATTGAATAAATTAAAAATAATTCGTAAAGTAGCAACAGTAGTAGTAATAAAAAAACCTACACATTACAATCTAAAGCATGTACGCTGAACCATGTTCTAAATAGATATAATATTTTTGTTTAAACACATATACATTAATGTTGGTTTCCAAAACTATAAAGTTTCGAAAGTCAAAAGGTTTCTGAAACTAGTTTTGACATAGAACTTTTAATTTTTTTAGTTTTGAATTTCGTCTCTTCAAAGTAATTTTGGCGACCAACACTAATATAGAAAATTTTTTATTTATTTAAATACAAATTCTTCGAATAACCATCCTCACATACTATTGATTTTTTATCATTTGAAGATTTTATTATTACTGGAATAACACTTAATTCTGGTTCTTGAATCTTTGTAATCTAATTCGAAAAAACTTGCGCGAATAAAATAAATCCACGTGATTTTTTTTGAGATTTTTAAATTTTTTTGATGATCTTTTTAAAAAATTTAATTTTTAAATATTTTCAATATGTTGTATCAAGACGAAGATGACATAGATTTAGTTTCTGATGTTGAAGCTGCTTTAAATAATAATGTTTATATTGGAGTTGATGATGAGTTAGATGGTGAAGGTATATAACATATATTTTTTATTAGTCAATTTTATACTATATATGTGTACCTAAGGCTTTTTTTAAAAATCAATTTAGTATTACAAGATCAAATTGCAATGCAAATAATGATGCAAAGTCAATATGAAGAGATACCTGATATTGTAAAGAACTTCATTGTATACTTTCATAGAAACATTTTAGAAAATAATGTTCATGAATTGCATAGTATATATGAAAATACTTTTAATCAATTGACAGAAGAATTTTATCCTGAAACTTTTTGGCCTGATGCAGAGTTAATTGCACCTTTAGTGAATGATGGTAAATTAATTATTAATCAAATTCTTTATTTGATTTTACAAACATAGTTGATCACATACAGGGTGTTAAGAAAAAAATGGCAGTTAGTAAAAATATTGTTTTTAATGAAAAAGTAGCCAAAATTATATGATGAAAATTATACCAGAGAATCAGAGGATCTTAGATTATAACATATGAAATTTTTGAAGCATGTTATTATGTAGGCTTTATGGTAATTATTAAAGGAATTTACACATTGAATTGTTTTTTTCAAAATAATCAAATTTCTTTTATTTCCAATTGACAAAATTCTAGAAAATCTGGAGGTATGAAAGTTTATAGATATAATCTCCAGAACTTTTATTACAAACTGGTATAATTTTTTGTATGATTATTATGTATATTTTTGTGTCAGGCTTATTATTAAAAATTTCCATGTTAAAATTTCAGACACAAAAATTTTGCAAAGTTTTAAAAAAAAGATATGAATTAGCTTTACAGAAAATTGGCAATGGCATATCATGTCTATTTTTTTTATTTAACAAGGTAATTTGATAAACTTTCAAACGAATCTAAATTTATTTAATTATGTTATGTAATTGTTGAGATATGCAATTTTTTGTCACCGCCATTTTTTTCGTTACACACTGTACCTAATGCAAAAAGGTCTGGAAGACCATCAAAAATTGCATGGGACCACTTTAATAAAGGCAATGTGGAAATATGACGCAAATCAAATCGTAAATGTTGTAATGATGGTAGCTCGGGTGGAAGTCCTCATTTGACGAAGAATGTGTGCAATTGATACTATTTGGAAATTGCCATCTAGAAAAAGATTCTGTATCAAACGTTTCATTCTGAAAAAAAGAACCAATCTTAATTTATTCGTTCCAGGCTTTCTTTTTTTTTTTTTTTGCGGAGTTTGTTAATCAATTAAAATCCGGATATAAAATTACAAATTAACCATTTATTTTTATTATTATACAATTTTCTTTGGACTAATCCAGCTGGAAGATCAACATATATAATTATGCCTAACAATAAAAGAATATTACTAAATTGAAATTTGATTATAAAAATGCAAAATTTTCAATTTCTTAATTTCGATGTTGAATTTCGAAACTAAACTATTTCGCCATCATACAAGTTATATCTGCGAATTGACAGTTTGTATGTTGTGAACTTTTCCAAAAAATTGTTTAAGAGTTATGTTTCTAAACAGTAAAATATTCGAAAAGAATATTTGTAATGGGATAGTGAGAGTAATGAGAAAATCATCGGTAATGAAATATAGAGGCTACCTTTCCAACTACTGATGCAGATAGTGGGTTCAAGTTATTTTGAAATCAATGGAAAGATAGCTTCTAGGAAAACAATTTCCACCTGAGAATGAATGCCTTTGCGTTCACAATACATAAAACGCAAGGCCTAACCTAGCATATCTGTTTCCATAGATGAAAGTATTTTTGCAGGCGGTCAAATATATGTTGCATTGAGCAGAACTAAATCTTTAGTTAAAGCGCAAATCTTAAAATTAAATGTTCAAAGAAATGTTATAAATAAGCATAATGGGCTTGGAATAGTAATCGAAATGGATCAAGTAATCCACAATAAAAAAATCTTTGCTTTGATCCATTTTCAAATTAAACACTCTCATATATCAAGTAAAAACTATATTAATTACTTGTGCAGCTCTTATTATCCTAATCATTGTTATAAACTCCAGCAAAGTGAATAATGATAAGAAATTAAATTTTATTTTGCAGAATAAATTGTTTTGAAAGTACACCAAATCGTGACGGCTAAGCCGCTTAAAAATTCCCTAGCCGGCTGACATCACTATTACCATAATTATAATATTGCAATTTCAATAAATACAATATGTCCTATTTATTGCATGCACCACACGCAATAATGGAAAAATCAGAATGGTTTCCGAGTTTAAGATAGTAGCATGCAAGTGCAACATTTTAACACCCATTCTCAATTTTTTAGTAATTTTGACGTAATTATTGCATGTTTCTGCATTCAATAACTCATATCTATTATTTCTTCGCTTACTTCCAATTCTGTTAAAAAATTGCAATATTAATATAGAGTATATGCGATTTTTGAAAACCCATTACTATATGTATAAATAAAACAAAATAAACACAAATAATCTTACATGTTAGTCAAAATTAGTTTTATTAGTAAATGATCATTACCAAATTCAAAATACCAAAATAGCTTTTCGTAATTGTATCCAAAATTATTTGAATTCCTTGATTCAATAGCCAAAATTCTGGTAAATTTTTTATGATAATTAATATAGGGAATATGGAAAAGCCAGAAGAATGTAGCCAAAATATTTGACAAATGAAAAAATAATTTTGGCTAACATGTATGCTCCAACCAAGTTAAAAGTGATGCAACAAGATTAGATCAATGAATGAATATTTTCGGACTTACTTCAGTAAAGTGATTCTACAGCTCAATAGAAATGAGAAGTCACATATTGTTAAAGATGAATTTAAAAAAACTTGAAACTTATTTAAAAGAGAAATTAATCATAAAAAATTTGTTCACTTTTCTTAAATTACTCTCATGCCAATTTCACAGCATATGCAGACAGGGGTAGAAAGTACTAACCTATCTTGGATAATCATGATGAATTTAGCAAATATTCCATTTGAATTTGTCTCATATAGGGTTATCCTATTCCACCATGGCCAGAGGAATGTCTGCATTAGGTACAAATTCAATAGAAGTTTGTTTACTTGGTAATTATGGAGGAAATAAAAATTTGAATTTTGTCTATTTTTTATTTTTGTATAAAAATTTGAAAATAATAATTTTTATAAGACCATAATTTTGACCGACCATTTACCCAACGTCCCCAATCAATAACAGGTAAAAAATTTATCCGGCAAGCCAGATTTGAACTAGCGACCTAGAGATGACAGTTAAATTGTACTACAGTCTCCCGCTCTACCAACTGAGCTATTGCCGGCATTATTGACAAATGCACTTTTTATTATAATTTGAATTAATGATTGACAACATCAAATTTTAGAAAACATATATATCGTGTCACCTTTTTTTTTTTTTTGCGCAAATAAAAAACATGATGCCTCCAAAAAATTTTTTCAATAGAATAGCATCTACTGCTACTTCTCAACTAAATTTTCCCATACGGGTATGTTTTGGAATTTGAGTCAATAAGACAATTTGTTAAGGTTTGTAGGGTACGACGGGTTTGAAAAACCAAGATTGGTAGTCATTCCCGCAACCTTACACATAAAAATACTTTTTTTAATATTTTTTTTAAATTTTTTGAATGGGGGAATTTATCAGGGCTCATTCCCGCAAAGATTTCATCTCACACAATCTAAAACTCTATTATCTCGAAGTTTTTTAATTTCTTCAGGTCCTTTAATGAAAGGTTGGCCAGCAGCACTGTTGTTGTTTTTTTTCTTGTAATTAATTATTTGATTGGAAATTTTATATAATTTAACGCTATATTTTCTTTAATTAATTTAGATATTCTCCAAGATTTATATATAAAAGAAATTAAAACTTATAAACCTGTTGCACCAGAGGTATTTTGTTTGATTGATCTTTATTTATTTATAATGAATGATAAATTGAATCGACATTTTTGAAACTTAAAAAAAAAAAACAAGAAAAATGAAGAAGTTGGACAAGTAAAAGAACTTCGTGGAATTACTCCTCTTCAAGTAATTATTTATTTAATAAGATTAATTGTTTTTTGAAATTATTAACTAATTAATTACTAATCTCATTATTTACAAAAGGCACCAAAAATTGATGATGACATTTCAGGAGATTTGTCTGCTTATGATGTTGAAGAAGCACAATCTGAAGTAGTTTCAGCAGATTCTTCTTCGTTAGAAAAACAACTTTTTGGAGATTATGAAGAAGAAATTACTACACCAGTTTCTCATTAAAAATTATAAAAATAAATAATTTTCATTTTCAAAATGTTATTTAAATCTTAATTTGCACCTTCAGTTTTATAATGTTGTTTCAATTCACGAATCTTTAGAAATTTAAAATTAATATTTATTAAAAACAAATATCTGATATAGTACATAAAAATATTCCACTGCGTTATTTATTACCTGGTACACCGTCAAATTCTACCTCTTTAGAATAAGGTGGATGAATACCTCAAACTTTCCGTTTTACTTGCCTTTTGTTTTGAATATTAATATTAATATATATATTTTGTGAAATAACAGAAATAAACAGTTTATTTGCTTAGATTAAGGGAATACAACAATCCTTTACATAAAGAAAAATCTTTTAAACTACTAATTTATTGAAATCGACTTTTATTTTTTTTTTTTAAAAAAAATATATCGGATACCCTTAGTTAGTACTTACAGAATAACTAAAGCGTATTTTAAAATCGGGTAATCTGTTAAAAAAAAATAAAAAAATAAAAAAAAAAATAAGCAGATTTTAATATATATATTATATATATGCGTGTGTGAAAGCACACGGCATATTTATAACAATGGAGAACCTAAATAAATAAATATACATAAAGTTGAGCGTAAGAGTGTGTTAATATAATCTTTTAGTATGTTAATATGAAAAATCTTCAATTACCAGAAAAGTAATAAAGAAAAACACCAGTTGCTCCAACAGCAAATCCAACCGTTGCCGAGAATAAAATTTCAAGTCTCATACGTTTAGATGCATTACCCTCTTTTTCTTTTGATTTATTTCCAAGGTCCATTTCATCTGTTTCATCTTTTCCATCTTTCATATCTTCATATTTGCGTTTGCGATTAGTAGTCAATTTAACAGATTCTTCTAATTCTTGACTCAAGATAGATGGTCCTTCACCATCAATATCGGAATTGTCGCTGTTGTCTTTGTGTTCAGAATCATTAATATTTTCATTAAGTGAAAGATAGATTTGATTTGAGTCTTGTACAATTTGTGAAGCTATATTTTCTTTTATTTTAATATCAGGTGGAGAATATGTGCTTATACTGGCTGTATCTTCGTCTTTAGTTGATGTTTCAGTTATAGGAGAGGCAGGGTGATGATCTGGCGTGATTGCTGGTGTAACAGGTTTTTCTGGACTTCCAACCTCTACTTTATCATTAATTCCAGGTAATGACGATGTATCGTTGATGCTGTCTGTCTGTAAACTATTTGCTTGGTTAACTTCTTGCTCTTTTTGGTCAACAAGAAGATGTTTTGGTAGATGTCCATCTTCGGTGGGAGAAGGTACCATTGCTTTAGTGCGTTAAAAAAATATATATATTATTAATTAAAAATAATAATCAATTACAATATTATAATGATAATTCATTTAATTGTCGATTTTTTTCTTTACTTTGTTCAATCTTATCTCGAACTTCGACGCCAGAAACAATATTTTTTTCAAAGGTCACATCTTTAAATATATATATATATATGTAGAATAAAAAGCTTTAGTTGTTATTATTTTTATATTATAATAATAATAATTTTACAACGATAAAAGATCATTCTTACCTTTCTTTGGTTCATGGTATGTATCATTGGTTGTATCAATATTTAATAATAATGAGGATGCTTTTTTTTAAGGAATCAAAGAAAGAAATGAATAGACGAAAGTATTATTAATATTAATACTAATGTTATATATACTTTTCTTACATTGCTCTATTTGGATATTTTCTTTTTCTAATAAATCATCTTTAAAACAATGACAAATATTATTATATGTAATTAAAAATTTTTAAACACCAATCATTCTAACAACAAGTTGATTGTTGTAGACCAAAATGAAAAAGTAATTAAATGCAGCACAAAAGAATATTATGAGATGGCTGGGTTTTTAGGAAGACAAGAAAAAAAAGTGAAGTTTGGATGAATAAAAATAAATGCATACAAGCCATTGTTAAAGGTAAACATTTTGATTTTTTTTTTTGAAAAATTAATTAATTAAATATTATTATTCAATTCAATATTATAGATTTCAAGTTTACCAACACCTTCTGTTTCTTCAGTTCAGTTCATGGTTTCCAAGTGCAGCAGCACTTTTTTTATATGGATGATTTATTTAACTTTTATAAAGAAAAACATTGTAGAAGGTTAAGATGGTCAAATGATCAAACTATATTGGTAAACAAAAGACTATGGATAAAATCTGTAGGAGGATTTGCCAATAACGAAGAGAAAACTGTTGTGGCATTTACCTATTCTCATGATACTAATTTTTTATATTATTTAAAGAATTAAAATTTTTTTTCATTTTATAATCACAGTCATGCTCCATTCCTATCGAGTTCTAAAGGACATGCTGCTAGTCCAGTAAAGCAGCTGATGTGGGAGTTAGGGAAAAGATGCAGAATAAAAAATTATTAATGAATTTAGAACTAGCAGAATATGTTCCAAGTGTGAAGGGATATTTAGTAAATCTCAACAGTTTTGGACACTCCAGACATGTAGACACATGTGCCAGACCCTCTGGGATCATGATGTTAATGCTGCCCGAAACATAAGAAACATATTTTTGTACATGAATGAGAATGAGGGAGAAAGGCTTGAGATTTTTAGGAGTAGGGGTGAGGGGACTTAAATCTTGTTTCCATAGGTAAACCATTTTATCTGTATCACTGAAATCTAGCTAACATTTCTGAAGGCTTAACTTTATACTTTTTAAACCAAAACTCATTTAATTCATCAATGATTTCTTTACATTTTTCTTAACTAATTCTTTATCATTTATATTATTCATGATATATAGTAAGTAAAAAGATATGTTACTGAAGGTGTCATGCTGGTAGATTAGCAGAAAATTTTTATTATGAAATCAGGTAAAGCAATTTTTATGTCGTATGAAATTATGGGTAAAGCAAAAAATTTCAAAATAGAAAAATAGGCAAGGGCTAAATTGTGTCCTTTTCCATTTTAAATAAATTTTCTAGTGACCCTAATACTAATAAAATAACCTCTCTGTCTAAAAAAAGATTCGCGCTTCGGAAAAAAAAAATAGGTGCTTCGTACAACTACTATATGCCATTAATAATAATAAATAAGTCGCGTCAGAATTTGAAATATTTGAAATAGGGTCTGAAAGAGATTCGATCACCGCCTTGAAAATTTGGCCGTCATTGTATTATTAATAATATTAATATTAATTAATAAATAATAAACTTTTTTTATGTTCAAGAATTTAATAAAAAAATCGTTTCTTAATTTTAATACCAAGAATAAAAATAATCTTATTAAAGAATATTTTAATAATACTTATTATTATAACAAGATTATTGTTAAGACGATGTCTACTAAATTAAATAAACTTTCTAACGAAAAAAGTCCATATTTATTGGTAAAGTTTTAAAGTTTTTTTATTTTATGAATAAAGATTTTTTTATTATTCTTTTTTTTTAACTCACTTTTTTTAATTAGCAACATGCGACAAATCCTGGTAAATTTAATAGTGATAACTATTTTTATAATTACAAGCAAATAATAATAACTTTTTGTTAATTGTTAAATAAGTTGACTGGTATCCATGGGGCAAGGAAGCGTTTAAGACAGCTAAGGAGGAAAATAAATTAATATTTTTAAGTGTCGGATATAGCACTTGTCAGTAAGTCATCTAATATTCGCTTTATAATAATAACTTTATTCTTAATATTAAATAATGATTATTGATTGATCGATTTTATTATAAAGTTGGTGTCATGTGATGGTAAATAATAATAAACTTATTTGGGGAAATTATTTTATTTTATTATCTCAATTTTTTATTAAATATTATTTATTTGCTATTGTAGGCTCATGAATCATTTGAAAATGAATCTATCGCAAAGCTGATGAATGAAAACTTTGTTAATGTTAAGGGTAATCAATTTAATTTCTGATCTGTATCAATTAATTATCAATATGAATAAAAATATTAATCTGAGAAATAAAAAAATTCAAATTATTAAATTATTATATAGTTGACAGGTAAAATTTCAACAAAAAAAATTATGATTATTTATTAATCAATCAAGATCATATTAAAAAGTTTAATATTATACATGATGAATATTAGAGAAGTCCAGCCCGATGTTGATCGTATGTATATGGTAATGTCATTCATTAGATTAATTAGCAAAAAATTATATAAACTTGACATCTTGTCTGATCCTATTTTGTTCTGTTCTGTTCTGTTCTGATTTGTTTAGACTTATGTTCAAGCATTGACAGGGCATGGTGGATGGCCTATGTCAGTATTTCTGACTGTAAGCATTCAGATTTATTTATTGAATTTCATTATCTTGCCCTTAATTTAGATTGATTCAATTAATTAATATATTTAATAAATTGTCTAATTTTAGCCTGAATTATATCGTAAGTATTAAATTTAAATGTCTTTTATAACTATATGATATGAATTCTGTATTTATTTAATTTTATATTGTTTCTATAAGCAATATTTGGTGGAACTTATTGGCCTGCACAAGATCAGTTTGGAAGGCATATATTATTGAATGAGATAATTTGATTCTTTTTATTAATAATTTTTGGTTAATAATTGTTTATTTTATTTCTATTTAGACCAGGATTTCCATCCATTCTTAAAAGAATATCAGCATTGTAAATATTTAAATTAAGTTAATTATAAGTTTCTCTATAAATAAATAACATTTTGCGCCATTATAAATATTCTAGGTGGAAACAAAAACCTGACGATTTAAGAAAAGCTGGCGAAGAAACAATTCAACAATTACAAAATTTAGTACATATAAATTACTTATTTTATTAAAAAATTTTTGTTATTAATTAACAATAATAATCGTATTGATTTCTTCAATTTAAAGAGTAAATCAGAAGGAGGCGAGCTTTCTAAAGAATTAAATGTTAAAATTGCCAACAAACTATATCAAAAATATTTGAATTTGTTTGATGAAAGCCAAGGTGGATTTGATGGTAATCTTTCATTTTAAATATAATAATATTATATATATCTCTATATCCATCATAATAATATTATTATACTCATATTATTATACTTAGATGAGCCAAAATTCCCAACACCTGTTAACCTTAACTTCTTATTACGTTATTATTACTATCAAATGTCTGAACTTGATAGATCATATGAAAATTACCCGACAATATCAATTAATGAAATTAAAAGAATCGGCAATTCATTAGGGATTGATTTTAAAGATTTGCATAATGAAGCTGAGTACGTTAATAGATTTAAATCAACTGTTGAGAATCGTAAAAATAATGCACAAAAGGCTTTGGAAATGGTTAAATTCACATTAAAGGTAAAATTTCTCTCCTGTCAAAATTAATATAAAATTTTTAATTAATAAATATTTTTAAAAATTAGAAAATATCCATGGGAGGGATCCATGGTAAATACATAAATTCATTTAAATAAATACAAAATATTTTCTCTCAAATAAAATTAAACTAAATTATTTCCCTATTCACAGACCATATAGGAAACGGATTTCATCGGTAATTTTTGATATTAAAATATCAAATAAATAAATAATAAGTTATTCAATGGGTATTATTTATTATATTTAGCTATTCTACGGATAAATATTGGCACATTCCCCACTTTGAGAAAATGGTAACAACAATAAATAAACTTGATGATTAAATTAATCAAAATTGTTGGTTTTAAATTATTGATTTATTTTATTCAGCTTTATGACCAAGCACAATTGCTAATGAGTTATGTTGACGTATATTTAATTACTAAGGATGATTATTATGCAGAGGTAACGTTGATATATTTTTAAAACAATACCAACAATAATAGTGCATCATCTTATTATTATTATGATGTAAAAGGTTGCAAGAGACATTATTAACTATGTGGAAAGAGATTTAAGAGATTCTAAGTGCGGTGGATTTTATTCTGCTGAAGATGCTGATTCTTATCCATATGAAGGAGCTGAGCATAAATTGGGTGAGATTTTGTTTATAATTTTATAATAGAATACACGCAGTTCAAAATAATAATAAAAATATCTATTTGTATATTCGCATACATTTTTTAGAAGGGGCATTTGCTGTATGGGAAGAATTGGAAATTAAAAGACTTTTAGGTGAAAAGGATTCGGAAATATTTTGTTGGCATTTTGGTGTAAAACCAAATGGTAATGTTGATCCAGAAAAAGATATTCAAGGTGAATTAAAAAATAAGGTAACAGTTTATTTATTTATTTGTTAATTTAACTGTCATTTTTTTATATTTTAATTACACTGTTGTATAGCTTGTATGCATATTTATATTAATAAAATTGTCCATTATAGAATGTTTTAATTGAACGTTATTCACTTGAAGAAACATCAAAAAAATATGATATCTCGGCAGACGAGTTAAAAACAATTTTAACTGAATCAAAACAAAAACTTGCAAAATACAGATTTGAAAAAAGACCTAAACCTCATCTTGATGATAAAATTATAACAGCTTGGAATGGTAAACTTGATATTATTTATTAAATTATATATATGATTTATATTTATAATACATAATTCACAATATTAATTTTGATTATTAATTAAATAGGTTTAATGATTTCTGGCTTATCAAAAGCTTATGACATATTAAAAGTTTCGAACTTCCTCGATTTAGCAAGGAATTCAGCAAAATTCATTAAAGAAAATATGTATGACAATGACAAGAAAATTTTATTAAGAAGTTTTAGAGAAGGTCCAAGTAATGTGCAAGGATTTGCTGACGATTATAGGTGATAGACATTTCTAATTGAAATATCAGTATTATATTATTTTACATTGTAATATAAATATTTATTAATTTTATATATTTATAGTTTTTTTATTGCAGCTCTAATTGACTTATATCAATCAACATTTGACGAATCGTATCTTAGTTGGGCAGTTGAATTGCAAGAAACTCAAAATAAATTATTTTATGATAAAGAAGGCGGTGGTGGATTTTTTAATGTTGCAGAAGGAACTAGTGACATCTTGGTTAGATTGAAAGAAGGTAATAAATTTATTTGTTGAATTCCCTTGATTAATCATTTACTGATTGATTCGTTGCTTCTTTTATTAGATTACGATGGCGCAGAACCCTCTGCGTAAGTAATTCATTATCATTAACATTATTATCATTATTAGATAAATATATATTTCACTTTATTTTTTTTAACCCCAATTCCCATTTCTAATTTTATAATCATCAGAAACTCGGTGGCAGTTAATAATCTTTTAAGACTGGGAAACATACTTTGTAACACCGATTATATAAATAAAGCTGAAGAGACATTAAAATTATTTGCTGGAAGATTAAACAATTCTCCTCACGCCATGCCATTTATGATGTCAAGTTTATTTTTATATTACAAAGGAATTAAACAGGTAAAATAAAATTAATAATAATTTATTATTTCATTTAAAACAAAATGGCAGTCTTTTCATCCTATTCACCTCCCCTCTTTAGATAATGGTTTTAGGCGCAGAAAAAAACGATCCACAAATTCAAAAATTTATTCAGTGTATAAATAATCATTTTGTACCTAGTAAAACATTATTGTTAATAACAAAAGATAAAAATCAACAAGAAATCTTGGATTTATTTAAATGTAATGAAATTATTCAAAGTTTTATTAAATCAATCGGAGAAAATGATGGAAACAGCATTAATAGTGTGCATATTTGTGAAAATTTCACTTGTAGTATGCCTATTGATAGTCTTGATATATTGGAGGAGTCTTTAAGAATTTAAGAATCATGTACAATTATGTGATTTATTTTCTTTTAATTTGCTTTATAATTAATTATTACTTTATTATTGTATATCAATCAATATATATATATTTTTTTATTCCAAACATTTTGGACACCAAAAAATTTTTCATTTTAAATCAATTAACCTATTACGCTAGAACTGAAGCATGGCACTACTGCTAGATTATCCTTCATAGATGCGTCATCACTTCAGCTACCTACTATTTGAATAATTACTTGAATTTTAATCCCTTTCTATCTTAGAATCAATAAGCAACTTCAGTTCGAGCAAAACAACATTGATACCACATTAACACAATCACCATCAATAATTGATCATTTTTTAATGCTTTACGAGTAGCTGAATGTTAATATGATTTTTTGAGAACGTGGGATTAATAAAAAAACAAGGTGAAAATAAATTTTAAGTATCGACACTAAAATGTAAGATGCAAAGTGGTAATGGTAATAAAAAATAAATATTTTACTTTTAGCACTTTCCTTAGATTCATATTTGTTTTTTAATGATTTTTGCCGCTTTAGAGTCACTTACTTTTTGGTTGTTTTTATAACTTTCCAATAATTTTATCATAAAAATAAATCCATTTATGGGGACATACTGTAACAGAACTGAACGTTATTATTTGGGACATACTGCAATAAAACCAGACAAAGTGAACAAAGAAATTTCAAGGCTCAAAATATTTTCATCCATTCATGCTTTTTAATTATTCAATATTCTTCATATAAGATAATCGAGTAACAAATCCAAGTCAATTTAAATGACATTATTTTTAGGGAATTTATTAAAAATAATATCATTAAATGTATAAAATTTGATACGTCAATTTCAATCATATTTCTTTTTTTGATGAATAATAAATTTATCCTTTGTTTATTTGTTTTAGTAGATTCAAATAGATTTTATTATATCAAATAGTGCAGCAAAATTCAGAGAACCATTTATGTAAAAATACACATAATAAGTATACATAGCTTGTAGACTAGGTCCTGTAGAATATGCATGCAAAATTTCTTGTTTCCTGATTTTCTATGTTATTGTTATTATTAATTGATTATTTTGAAAAAGAAAAAACAAGATATAGGAAATCAAACTTTGCACGCATAATTTATAGGGCCTAGTACTAGGCTACAAACCACATATTCAATCCCGTTATTCCGTTTAAAATTACTATTAGGTTTGACAAATTTGGTTTAACAGGGTATTATAAAATAAAGTATGTAAATGAAAAGTGACCTAAATACATGTGTGTGCGAGTGTAATAACTCATAGAACATTTAATAAAAAAGATGGGCGACATTGATTGCCCATATTACTAGTTATCCTATAACTGTCAAGGTGCGTTTCCATTCATTGCTTGAAATTTTAAGTTTACGCTTTATGTCCTTAGGGTTAAACTCTTTAAATATGTTAGCTGTTCTTTGTGGTTTTAACTCGTTTGTAAATTGTCTCTTATAAAGGTTAAACTCGGGTGGTTTTGCTAAAGGCAATACAAAAAAAAAGCCATCCAAGTTATGTAATAAATAGATTTTAACTATTTATAGTTCACAAATACCAGTGACCAAAAGCTGCGATCTGGCTTGAAGCAATCTGAAGCAGATGATACAAATATGTATGTACATTGTGGTAATAACTGGTAATTATTTATTATTATGTTGCTAATTAAATGTTATAGTTGCTGGCGTCAACTTTAGATGCTCATTATGGATGTGTATGGATGTCGATGTATGTATTTTTCTCCATAATTTGTTTTATCATTCAAATTTGTTCGTTATTTTAACAACATTCAAAACTGTGTAAATGATAAATTTAAAGAAAAAAGAAATTCCAAAACAAATGTAATATCCCCATGGTCAAGACAATCTGGAGTTGGAAAATCAACACTGTGTGAAAATCTCCCGGATAGTTTTTGGGTCGATCATAAAATGGATGTTGTAATCAGGAATGGGCAATATTTTATGGATTTTATGGATGGTTAAGTTATGACTTCATTCTAAGACTACTCGATAAAACACCTTTAACAGTAGAAATTAAAAGTGGAATTTAATTCAAAAAATATCATTATTACATCTAATAAACCAGCAAAGAATGGTATAATTCAACAAATATTAATTCTTTACTATATAAAGTAGGCTACGATATGGAAACTATACTATAAACACACGTAAAGGTCAGCAGAGTAATAACATGTATAAATACATTGACGCAGTATAATAACGTAACACAAATAATAAATATATGTCGGTAACTGAGAAGGTACTTTCAATATAAATAATTTGGTTTTATAGACCTTCAATAAGATATAAACTGTGTGAATTGTCAAATTTTCAGATGCAATTACTATCACTCCTTGAAGAAGTGTTGAAGTGCAAAACCAATTGAGTTTAAGGATTGAAACATATAATCTACTAGAATTTCAAAAAAATTTCAAGGAAAAATATGCAATAAAGTTTCCCATTCCTTTGATCAGTTGTCCAAAAGTAAGTTAATTGAGGAATATAAAGATGCTTTACCCATTAGTTTATTCTTAGAGAATTGTTCTGGAGCTTATGATAGCAGAATCGTTGATATGAATAAGATTCATTGATTATTATTGCTTGTGTTTAATATGTGATTGTTTTTAAGATATGATGTTCACTGATATATTTATTTATAATTAATAGCGTTTCTGATATTATTATTATTGTTGAGGGAATCATGTTTTTAACATTTACACATCTATTTACATTTGTTTATTTCATTTTCTATAATAATAATGACTTGGGAATATGCTTATAATTATAATTTGTATGCACACTGGTAACGTTATGATTAGATTTTATAAACCAAATATATATTCTTATGACTGGTCAAATCTTACTTGAAATATGAAAGCAATGATAATAGCAGCAGCAGCAGCAATTATGATGAAGCATTAAAAGATGAATAAGCATTGCTAGTTACAAAATCCTAGTCATGTCAGGAACCAATGGTTAGAGAGAGAAATTGATGAGAGTGTGTAATGAAGAGTATCAACCACAAATCATATTGGACTAGTAACTTGAATAAGATGTAATTCCTTGGATTTGTTTAGTGGAATAGCAAAATTCGATGGGGATACTTAATCTATGCATTGAAATCCAATATTTAGTATTGAAGATGTTAAGGCTAAAATCTTCAAATTGGAAAAATAAAATATCAGATGTTTTAACAGATGTTTTAAGAATAGTGAGGAACCATCATGCAAAGTTAGAAGGGGGATTTTGTACATATTGTTATACCAGTATTGTTATTGGAAGGTATTGGTAGACAGATGGGTCCTAATATGAATTTATTAAAAAGTTCTTTACCAAGTTTAAGAAAATTGGTGCTCAAAAAGCTAGTGAAAGAGAGATCAAGGGTATTAAAAAACACAAAATGATGATAACATTGATGGTTTATTGATATCACTCCATTGTTAAAACTCTGGATATGGTTAGAGGTTAGAAGTAATGTATTATGGGATGTTATAAAGTAATGCTTGAAATAAATATTTGATAGCCTGACATGTAATTTTCCATGAAATTTTATTAATATATTTTATAATAATATTTATAAATCTTCGGGTCTGACATAATTCAATTCTCCATTTTCAACTACACTTTCTCTGTTTACATCCCTTTTCAATGGTTTTCTCATATCTTAAAAAAAATTTTTACATAAAAAAACCATTAAAATGATGCAATTTCTCCTTAAATGAAAAAACATCATATAATTAATTAAAATATTTACCATATGCATCTTCTTCACTATTATCACCAGAAGAATAATAACCAGTAACACGTCGATAAACTGTATATCCAAATTTTCTGTACATTCCAACTGCAATAATATTTGAAACACGAACAAATAAATCTACGAAATATCCATTATACCTGATTTTTTTAACAAAAATATTATTATAACCTTTAATAATTGCAATTATAAAATTTGTAGTTTTTCTAATTATAATTAAAAAAAAAAACCACAAACACATTTTCTGAAACATTTTCCAGCAATTGCATCATTCTATCAGCCAATCCTATTCGTCTATACTCTGGTGCAACAGTAATGGCAGTTACATGTCCATGCCATTCTTTACCTCTTCCTTCTGCTTTGCCCATAACTATAATAATAAATAAAAATATATATCTAAGGATAAAAATAAAAATCTAATTATTTATTAATAATCTTATTATTAACCATATCCCATTATTATCCCATTTGATGACTCTTGCAAACAAAAAAGATCTGGCCATCTTGATAAATATGAAAGATAAAAGGTAATATTATACTAAATCATATATATATATATATATACAACTAATTAATTTTTATACAACAATAATAACTTTATCAATTATATATATTGGATATATTTCCTTACCGTTTCAGTTAAAACATCCAAATTTCTTAATTCCAAAAAAATTAAAAATTATTAATTTTTATTTCCAAAAAAAAAAACAAAAAATCAATTATTAAACCTAATCCTTACATATTATTGACTTTAAATAAATCTGTAGCCTTAAAACGTCTTAAAACACTCATTTTCTTATCATAAATAAATTATAAAATTTTCGTATCACCAAAATATTTTTTAAATTCAGAGTTCGCCCGAAAAATCTAGTTTCAGCAATGATCATCGAGCCAATAAAATTTAATTTTTGCGTGATGTCTGGAAAGGAGATCATCACAAAATTTAGCCAATGAAATCAAACTTCTATCATTATATATAATGATAAATGTTTAGTAACAAATTAACGCGTTTTTATTTTTTTTAGTTAAATAATGCACATAATTTCTGATTCAAGTCTCACCTCACCTCTCTTTGTAATTTGTTTTAGGCACAACAACCTAATTATAATAATATTTCTCAAAGTCTTAACATGTTAGCACAGGAAGTGCCTTTAATACCAATATACCTGTTGTTAACGTAACAAATCTAGCTTGTGGCTATCCGAAATACCCTCAATACAATGACAACTCAATTTACAACACAATTAAATGCAATTCAAACCAATATCCAATCTTTGTAAGTCTTTTTCCCATAATCATACTATGTCCCTTTTACTAAAAATTACTATTGAATGAACCTTTTATATTTTAGGGATAACCAGTCTCTTTGTAGATCGTTAAATTCAAGAATTACTGATCCAACTACAAATATTGAAGTGCCTCCCAACTTACTGAACCAATTTCCAACAAGTTTTCCCTCTAACATATCTCAACTACGAGAACTAACTGGTTTGTACACTAGCATATTCTTCTTTCTCCTTTTTGAATAATTTACAAATAATATTTTTTTAAAATATAAAGCTCAAAACTTAAACAATTTGTTGAATTTTTATGGCTTACCAACTACTGGAGGAATGGATACAAAACAAGGGCGGTTGGCCGAATTTATTGGGATCGGATTACTTTAGCGTACAATTTCATTACAAATTGTAAGTTAATAATTCATTATGTTGATTTGCAAATTTAATTCTTATTTTTAATCATTGCTATAGAACGTACTTTAAATTTGAAAAAATGAAAATTATTATTATTATAAAAACAACTAGTTAATAATTCAAAGAAAATAAATTACAATTAATATCTTGCTCAATTTCACATCTATTATCAGTTTTTCTCTTGAATAAAGTGTTCAATTCATTTTCTGTCGACCAACTTTCATAAGTAAATTGCAAATAATACCCATTATTTTTTTTATAATTGGGATTTGTTTTATTTATACAAAGAATATGATTATATGCATGTTCAGCACAATACTATCATTGCAGCAAGTACAATACAGTAACGTTAAAATTAATATAGTACAATCAGTACTTATATTAAAGATACAAGTATAGAAAGTATAGATGAGTACAATACATCCTTGTAATAAGTGCTATACTTATCTATGGTACAATATCTACTGATCAGATCTTACAGTACTCATTTTAAAATTACTGCACAAACTCATCTCTTTTAATTTTCAATATCATCAATTTGCTCTCTTTTAAATTTAATTCAATCTTTTTTCTAATAGAGCTATTTGTTTTTCTAAATTTCCATTGATTTTGTAGATTCATCTAAATCAATAATTCTTAAATAATAAACACTTGTTTTTTTTTACAATTATTATCCTTATTGGCAGCACAATACTATCATTGCAGCAAGTACAATACAGTAACGTTAAAATTAATATAGTACAATCAGTACTTATATTAAAGATACAAGTATAGAAAGTATAGATGAGTACAATACATCCTTGTAATAAGTGCTATACTTATCTATGGTACAATATCTACTGATCAGATCTTACAGTACTCATTTTAAAATTACTGCACAAACTCATCTCTTTTAATTTTCAATATCATCAATTTGCTCTCTTTTAAATTTAATTCAATCTTTTTTCTAATAGAGCTATTTGTTTTTCTAAATTTCCATTGATTTTGTAGATTCATCTAAATCAATAATTCTTAAATAATAAACACTTGTTTTTTTTTACAATTATTATCCTTATTGGCATGTTTTCCATGAGATTTTTTATCACAACAATGTCATTTTTGTCATTATTGTTTTCATAAACTTACTCTTTCTTCCTTTTTGTTCATTGCCATCACTAGTGTGTTTCTGGTTTGGTTCTTAATATTTGATGGTTCACCATGTGATTTTTCAATTGATCCAAATATATTATTACTTTTTTCACCAGAGATGTAATTAAATTCTATATCGTTGACATTATTTTCTCAGAATTTGCTATTTTCTTTCCAATGGCTAAGGCTGTTAGCACTGTTTTGTTTAAGTAATTCTTGATGGTATGAAATTATATAAGCATTACAATGTTATAAAAAAACATACTTTTGGTTGTAGTTATACCACATACAGATAAGAATCACAATTTCATTCTCAATTGTTTTGTGTATTTGCAATCAATTATTGATTATCATTACAAATAATTTAATATTACTCTACCATTAATAAAATTATAATCACATTACAAACGACTAAATTTTGATCCCTGAAATCTTTTGTAACACCAATGTTCACTTTGTCTGGTTTTGTTGCAGCATGTCCCATATATGTATTTGCTTGCGTTATTGACTCCATTATTATTATTATTATATTTATTATATTTTTAGTTTATTGAAAGATAATATAACAGTTGATTCATAATAAGCAGACATAAGGTTTTTGGATAATATAATTATTGTTCATTTTATTGATATTAGAAAATAAAATATTTTGATATAATTTAAAAAAAAATTTATATAAATTTAATTATTAAACTCAGTCAATATCTGTCTGTTTTGGATAAAAACAACTACCATTTGAATTCTCTCGATGAGATGTCTAATTCATAAAATTCTAATCACTAGTTTTTATGATTGATTATCTTTTTGCTATGTCACGCGATGGTAATCATATAAAAAAAAAATATTCAAAATTTATTAAGCAAAAATGAATAGCAGAGTTGTTATCAAAAGATGTTTATATAACCAAAAAAAATTCTACAGTACTAACGTGATAAATAATGAATTTTTTGAAAAAAATTTTTCAATTCCTAATTCAATC